GGCACTCTACCCAGGGGGATAGCTTGAGGCTCCGTCTCAAAAAAAAAAAAAAAAAAAAAAAAAAATTAAGTGGAAGATGAGGACTTTGGGAATAGTGATTTATACTTATGTAACCTAAAAAACAAAAATGATACTTAAAACAGTTTCATCTGAAACCCATTTACTCATTCCAGTATTCTTTCTGGACAATATGATTTCTAACAACGCCCACTAGTGTCTGCAATGTGGAAGCCTTCAGTGAACATGCAAGAAACCATCCTGGGCAGGAAAACAAGCGTTAGGTGGTTTGAGGTTAAAAAGCAGGGTGTAACACATGATCATCAGTTCCCTACGTGTGACTGACTTTTTGACAGAGCTCTATTGGCCAGATTGAGGCCTCCAAAACGCCAGGGTGTTATGATCTTATAGAGGGGCTGAGAATATAGGAAAGGTGCCCTCCTCACATTCTAGAAAGCAGTCAGACTACCCTGTAGGTGGGGGTGAGACAAGAACCAGCAAAACCAATGGCCAAGCATAAAGCCCCTCGGGACACAACTTATATTCCAAAGCAGACTAGCCACTAAGAGTTATTATTATTTTCTTTGCCATACTGTAGTTCCTGGTCCTCAAAAATAAAAGTGACAGGAAGGAAAAATACTGTGGAAAGAAAAGAGCCAAAAAGAGGGAGACAGTGAAGAAAGGCGAGAAGGGTAAAAGAGACACAAGTGGGAGGAGAAATACTAAGGAAAGGTGGTTAGGGGACACAGATATAGGCACAAGACAAAAAGAAGTGAATATACATAGATGAGGGCATTCTTGGCAAAGAACTAGTCCTCTCTACCCCCTATTTATTCTCAGTAAGAAAGTGTGCTTCATCCTGATAGCTGCTTAACAGTAAAATGAACGGTCGGGAAGGTGAGTGGAATCCATGGGAAGAGGTGCCAAAGCAGGGGTCTCAGAGAAGCACAAAGACAGACCACACACACTCTCTGTGCACACTGCAACAAAGGCACCACTGCTCATCTCAAAGCACAGTAGATCAGTGAGTCTGGCTTACAAACGAACGAACATTCCAGAGATGTTTTCATTTCTGCCTATGTGCTGAGTATGTATTAATCAAATTCATCTCTAACTAGTAAAAGGTTTATACAATGAGTCCTCATTGCATACCGCTGGGCCATTCACAATAGGAAAACAAGCCACCTTCCCTTCCATCAAGAAGCCACTAATCAGTTTATATGGCTACACAGGGCAGACTACCATGATTTGAGGCCCTAACAAAAACTTTTTTTCCCCCTGAGACAAAGTCTGGCTTTGTTGCCCCAGCTATAGTGCAGCAGTGTCACCACAGCTCACCGTAAGCTGAGCTCAAGCAATCGATTCTCCTCCCTCAACATCCCAGGTAGCATGGACTACAGGCACATGCCACCACACCTGGATAATTTTTCTACATTTGTAGAGACAGGGTCTAACTCTTGCTCATGCTGGTCTCAAACAATCCTCTCACTTTAGTCTCCCAAAGTACTAGGACTGTAGGCAAGAGCCAATGCGCCCCAGCCCAAACTTTTCATAAAAATGAGTACCAGCTAGGGGCACATATAGCTCAATGGTTAGCGCACCCGCCCCATGTAGCAGGGATGGTGGGTTCAAACCCTTAAAAACAAACAAAAACCCAAGAGTACTGGTGAGAAAAACCAAAATACTCATCAGGAAAGTAATCATTAATCTCATTATCTCTAGGGTACTGACAAAGGAAGGGAATTCTGATAAATTTCTAAATATCCAAGAGGTCTTGCATGTTCCAAGGTGCCTTTTAAGCTCATTATTTCAGGAACTAAATAGTCCTAGCCTTTTCTGGTTAAGAAAGCACACGCACACCAGTTTTCACTCTGACTGCTGATAAATCAAGCCCATGCACAGCACATGCTTCCTTGGGGATACCTCTCAGATACACTCTGGTAAAGCCAGGCCTACAGGGGCATCCTGTTGCCTTCAATGCTGAACTTGACAGCACGGTGCACTTTGCTGAGTCGTTTCTGTTCTGCAAATCGCCTCTTATGCTTTTCCAAACGGCTTAGGCCCTTTTTAAGAATACCTGGCTAGAAAGTTGTTTGATTGGAAAATAGAAAAAGATTACTGAGAAATGCTGACAATCACTAAGCAGTGCTTAAAATGATGACAGAGAAAGTGTCTACCCTAAATATTTCAAAACAGAAGTGCTTAAATAGTTGAAGAGAAAGGGGGTAGTAGATATTCAGAAGCAGGTAAGCTCTAGGTCTCATGGTCCTAAAACAGAAAAGATCACTGGTTCAGAATATTAATAAGAAGGAACTTCTCTGCTTAATGATGTTGCTTCAAATTTGAGGAAAAATTCATCAGCAACAATCTTTAACCTTAGACAGTTCTTTTCTCTGATTCCTCAATTTATAATTTGGCTAGATAAAAGATCAGAGAACGGTCGTCTCTGAAATAAAACCTCAAGAACTATCAGGAGTAGTAAACATGAAGTAAAACCTAAAAAAGAGTGCGTATGAGATACACCTTGCCATGTCTCTGCCTGCTTACCCTGGATGACTCCATCTCCACGTTCCACTTGGGCCTGACAACGTAGTCCTTGTTTGAAGGCATAGGGACCCTTGCACGGGCACAGAATCCAGGATCTCCAGGTCTAAGAGCCCTGAGACAGAGAAGAACAGTGCTTACACAGCCAGCCTTGGAGTCTGCAGGTAATTTCACATGCCCGATCCTGGGTCCACCCCACTTAGCTGAAATGCTGTAAGATTCCTCTGCCTCCCCAAGGTCATCCAATCCATTTTGCCCTTCCTCAGCTTCAGATATAATCATGCCCTTCTTTTTTCCAAGGCTGGTCCTTTCAGCAGGACTCTGAATCTTTTTTTTTTTTTTTTTTTTGAGACAGAGCCTCAAGCTGTCCCCCTGGGTAGAGTGCCGTGGCATTACAGCTCACAGCAACCTCCAACTCCTGGGCTCAAGCGAGTCTCCTGCCTCCGCCTCCCAAGTAGCTGGGACCACAGGCGCCCGCCACAACGCCTGGCTATTTTTTGGTTGCAGCCGTCATTGTTGTTTGGCGGGTCCGAGCTGGGGATTCGAACCCGCCACCTTAGGTGTACGTGGCTGGCGCCTTAGCCGGTTGAGCTATAGGCGCCGAGCCAGGACTCTGAATCTTAACTTCTCTGGTCTACTGGAATAACTCATGAGTTTACTTGTGAGGTGAAAAATCAGGTAGTTAAAATGACCCCCCCAAAACTCTGAATCTGCCCATAAAGTACTTTGTGCATACATAACTTATACAGTAATTTTTGTCTATATTTGTGAAAAATTATCAAAGATAATTATAACTTCCCAAGTAGTTTTTTTTTTTAATTAAATCATAGCTGTGTAGATTAATGCAATCACAGGGTACAATATGCTGGTTTTATATACAATTTGAAATTTTTTCATCAAACTGGTTAACATAGCCTTCACGGCACTTCCCAAGTAGTTTTAAGGAATGATACAAAAGCCAATGTCTCTCCCAATAGCAACAACTTGCAAAACTAAAGTACAATACCACAAACAAGATATTGATGCAATACACTGCTTTTATTCGTATTTCCCTAGTCTTATTTTCACTCATTTGTATGCCAATTTGAGGGCAAACAGGCTATACTACAGTTGGATTACTTTCAAAAGTAAAGCCTATATCTACAGATGTCTGGGCATTAAACCACTCAACCTTTAGGTTAACTGACTCTGGTGGTAAATGGAGAGTGGATGTACATGTGTGTACTGGAAGTGGGGAGAGGATAAGGGAAAACGTTCTAAATTGTTTCTATTTCCTTGTATGGTTTACCCTACTTTTAAAACTTAGATATACATACGTATGCATGAACAGATGCATTGTCCTGCCAAAGAAAATCCCCCATCACTTATTCTTCTCCTGAAATCCCCTCTCATCATGGAACTTATTATAATGAACTATACTTACACTTGCTCCCTCTAGTTCATCCCTCATTCTCCTCTTGCAATCTGGGTGCTGCCTGATTGCCAACTCCCCTGTACAAACTCCTCTACAGCAACCTGCCACCGTCCACCACCAGTGAAGCTTCTCTCCCCTCTAGCTTTGCTCCCATGCATAGGACCACAGCTACTGACTCACCTCCACTGGTTACTCTGCCTGGTTACACCCCCTTTCAAAGTTGTTTAGCTTATTTATTTATTTAGAGACAAAGTCTCACTTTGTCACACTCAGTAGAGTGCTGTGGCATCATCACAGCTCATAGCAACCTCAAACTCTTGGGCTTAAGTGATTCTCTTGCCTCAGCCTCCCAAGTAGATGGGATCACAGGCACCCACCACAACGCCTGGCTTTTTTTGTTGTTGTTGTTGTCCAGCTGGCCCGGGCTGAGCTTGAACCCGCCAGCCTTGGTGTATGTGGCCGGCGCCATAACCACTGTGCTATGGGCACCGAGCCTGTTTAGTTCATTTCTTACTCTATACTGTCTTGATTCAACATATATTTTCTATGGAGAACCATCAATCTCTGTCTCTAGCCCAAATATCTCTTTAAATATCTAGACCCATAGTATCCAGTATCCATTAGGCATCTACATTTAATTGACTCAAAACAGAATTTACCCATGCTGTTCAATCTCTTCCTCATTCATCCATCTGAGTGAGTGGTAATAGCACTGTCTCAGTACTTAAAAGTTCAAGTTCCAGTTAGGTTCCTCAACTCTGGCCAACTTCTCTCCACCGAGTCACCAGCTCCAGGCAGCTTTGCCTCTGCAATGTCTCCTCACCATTCTGCTCCCTCATTACCATCTCTGTTTAGCTGGACCACTGCGTTCAGTTCCACTGCCCTCCACCCAATCCCACACAATGTCATCAGCTGCAGCATTCTAAACCAAATCTGATGGCTTCATATCCAGGCCCCAAAACCTCCTATGTAATCACAAAGACAACAAAAATTCCCCATTGTGACTTAAAGCCCTTCACTGGACCATATCTGTATTTCCAACACTATTGCCTAACTCTTTCAGTCCACAGCCATTTTCAAAATAGGCCTTGTGCACTTACTCCATAGCTTTGCCTAAGCTTTCCCTGTGCCTACCATCCCCTCTGCGGACTTACACTTTTTCAGACCATGGAATATGTTTAATTTGCTTTATATTGTCAGAGCTTAGCAAGCAGTCTACCATTTAGCAAGCAGCAACAAAATCTTTTTTTTTTTT